TTTGTGATGTTATATCACTTCAGCCTCCTCAGTTGCCCTTGTAATTAATGTACCTCAAGAAAATTTTTACCTAAAGAAAGCTGTATAACTTTTTACTTCTGTCATCTATGATGAAACACCACATGCTGGGCAAAGACAGAAAGAATAGGGTTGAGATCATTGACCCATCCTGGTTATATGTTTTTATTCTCATCCTTTTTTATTGTCAACTTTAATAATTATTCAAATCCTACTCTGTCTCAATTCCTCTCTTGTACAAAAAAGTACCTCACTCTACAGGAGTTTTCTCCATCATGTGCTTGGACTTCATTTTCCGCTAAATTCATTTCTCTGTAGATTTCATCCTATCTGCTCTATTGACCAGGAAATCTTAAACACTTGTAATCAAATGTTGTCACTTCCCTTACCCACGCTGTTGAGTTTACTGCTTTGTTCTTTTGTTGTTGTTGTTTTAATATCATTTTTGTTATTTAGGGGAATTTTAAAGGATAGGCAATGTTTAAATTCATGCTTAGTGTGTGTGCTTGATCCAATCTCAGGTGATATATTTGATATCCATTGTGGATGGGGCTTTGGCCGACAGATGGATTTGGATGATCATAGGCTGTGGTGACAGATGCTTTTTTTTTTTTTTAAGCCAGTATAACACCTTGACATCTGACATTTGTTTCTGTATTGAGAAATCCTAATTTCCTATATCTGATTGTAATGACAAAGATAATCCCAGGAAAGAGAGTTGTAGTAGGGAAATAGTTTGGTATCATTAAAGGGAGAAAACTGGTTCATCATTCCAGTTTTGAATCTGTCTACCTGTGGGACATCCCAACCTGGGTGTCCTGATGTCTTCCCAATACCAACAGGGGAGAGGCATGGAGACTGGTGAGTAGCAAGGATTTGAAGCATGGATCTACTTCTCCAGCTCTGGGGTTTACGAACTATGTCATCTTGGGATAGTCGTTTAATCTTTCTAAATTTCAGTATGTGGAGACCACTCTTCCTTTAAAAGAAAACTATGAAATTAAATAGTATGCATGTAAAACATGAAGTATAGTGCTCTATACCGATCACCCCTTTAACAGCAACCATAAATCCCAGATAGTGTTATTCCTCTCCAAAAAAGGCACTTTGAGTCATCTTCACCTGCTCCCTAGCTTTATCCCCTAAATCTCCCACTCTTTTCCTAACACACACCACCAACATGATTATTTATCTATTATCTCTACCCTCAATAGTCAACTCTCAACTTAGGATCTACTCTATTTGGAGCTCATAATTTCATCAGCTTATGTTGCCATCAATTTCTCATGTCCTGTTCTGTGGGTGTGAAATGTGAAGAAACGGTCACTAAATACACCTGACATGATTGTGTGGAGCCCTCTTTTATAAAAGAAGAAAGAAGAAAGAAGAAGGAGGAGGAGGCAGAGGAGGAGGAGGAGGAGGAGGAGGAGGAGGAGGAGGAGGAGTTGGTCAGTTGTCATGAACTAGTACAAATCTGAGTGAAACTCATTTTTTAGTCACTTGGACCACTGCATCCAGGAATCACACATAACAGCTCCTCCTGGTGGCCAACAATATTCTGCAAATGTTCAGGAGATGCTAGATTGGACATGAAATGGCACCACATGGAGTTTCAAACCTTAGAGTTGTGTTCAGTTTAAAAATATCTCACTGAACATTTCCTATTATATGGGAGTCTCATGGGTTGACTTCATTGCACCACTCCTTGCTCTGTGATCAATTAAAAGGTTAAACATATGAATGTTTACAACCCACAAGGGAAATGAGTGAAAATAATGAGATAATATTTGAAGTGATAATCTGTGAGAAACTTCCAAAATTATAAAAAGAAGAAAAGTCCAACAAACTTTCACTCCTGCCTATAATGGCATAGCTTTTAGAGACCAACACTTCTTCCAAAAACAGTAGGAAATCTAGATAAAATACAGAAATCAGATATTTGAAGGAGTTGGTAAACAACCAAAGGAGTATGACCAAGGGTCAAGATTCTAGAAAAAGGGGGGAGCTAGAGAGAAATAGCCTAGCATTCTGCACCAGCTTTCTCCTTCAAGCTCTTGACAGTTTCCAAAAAGACATGGTATAGGATGATAAAAAGCCAAGCAACACCATGCAAGGAAAACCACTTTGAAGGCAAAGGTGACATTGGCAATTCTCACTGAGCAGATTTACAGACTCAGATTTGTGTGGTGAATTAAAAAATTTAGAGAGATGGGGATCCCTGGGTGGCTCAGCGGTTTGGCGCCTGCCTTTGGCCCAGGGCGCAATCCTGGAGTCCCGAGATCGAGTCCTACATTGGGCTCCCGGCATGGAGCCTGCTTCTCCCTCTGCCTGTATCTCTACCTCTCTCTCTCTCTCTCTCTCTCTCTCTCTCTCTATGTCTATCATGAAGAAATAAATAAAATCTTTTTTAAAAAATGTCAAATACACCTCAATAAAAAAATGAAATACTTTCCATGACATGGATGAGCCTGGAAAACATGCTAAGTGAAAGAAAATGGACATAAAAGACCACATTGTGTACGATTCCGCTTATATGATATACCCAGAATAGAATTCATAGAGACAGGAAGTAAATTAGTGGTTGCCAGAGCTTGAGACTGATCCGAGTATGGGGCTCCTTTTTAGGGCAATGAAAATGTTCTGAAATCAGAGATAGGTGATGGTGGCATGGCATCTTGAGTGTACTAAAAGCCTCTGAATTGTACAACTTAAATGGCTGAATTGTGGGGACACCTGGCTGGCTCAGTAAGCAGAGCATGGGGCCCTTGATCTCAGAATCATGAGTTCTAGCCCCGCGTTGGGCATAGAGCTTGCTTTTTAAAAATTGAGTGAATTGTGTGGTGTGGGATTTGTATTCCCCAAAAGGTGTTTAGAAAGAAAGAGGGAAATCATAAAACAGGAGATTTACTATGCGCCAGAACAAGGGAGGCTGGGCAGAGCCAGAATCTAGCCATGGGGTGGTCTTGGGGTGTGCCCCTGGTGATGGCATCATCAAAAGCTCATGGCCACCTCCATTGGATTTCATGGGCACTGGATTTTCATGCTCACCATGGCTGCCATGAATAATCATGATCATTCTGGAATGTTGTCATTACCTCAAAATTGAAAGTCTTGAACAATAGCATGCCATTGGCAAAGCTGGGTCACCTGCCTCATATCTAATTAAGCACTCTATGCCAGAGAGCAGAAACAGGAAATATAACTCTTGTCACCTCTCAGTTTCCACAAGGGGGTGGGGGTGGGGCTTGTTACCCACCTGTCTTCAGATTCTATCAAATAAGAAGGATCCAGATGCTGAGCAGCCAAAAAGTAACAATTGTTGACTGCACATGGATGGCCTTTCCGAGAATCTGGAAGTTCCCCCAGCCCAGAAAGCAGGAACCCCCCCCTCCCACTCCTCAGATTCCAGATCCATAAACACTGAACGAGCAAATTCCTCAGCAAATGCTGAGCTCTGTATGAAGCATGGTGATGGTATTTCACTTAATTCTCGCCATGAGAGCTCTATTCTTACACCCATCATACAGATAAGGCCCACACAGGTTGCTTGAGGGGTTAGGAACCACTCCTATATCCTTCACCAAATTTGCTGTGGTCAGAACCCTCATGTGTACACATGCTGCTCCCCACCCTATTAATCACATAGTTTTCCTCCTGTATTAATATGGCAAATTACACTAGTTGAATTTCAAAAGTTAAATTTACTTTGCTTTCTTGGGATAAACCCTATTTGGTTAAAACGCATTATCCTCTTCATGTAACTTGTTGGATTTAATTTGCTATCATTTTGTTAAGACTTTTTGTATTGAGGTTTATGAAGGATAGGGGTCTAATTTTCCCTTCTTGCAGTGTCTCTGTTTGGTTTTGGGATCAGGGCAATGTTGGCCTCATTGATGAAGGGGGAAAGTATTCTTTCCTCTTTAATTTCCTGAGAGAGGTAATATAGAATTGGTATTGTCGGGCAGCCCGGGGGGCTCAGCGGTTTAGTGCCACCTTCAGCCCAGAGTGTGATCCTGGAGACCCAGGATCGAGTCCCACATTGGGCTCCCTGCAAGGAGCCTGCTTCTCCCTGTGCCTCTGTCTCTGCCTCTCTCTCTCTGTCTCTCATGAGTAGATAAAATCGTTAAAAAAATAATAATAATAATTGGTATTCTCTTTCTTGAATATGTGGTTTCATTTACCACTAAAGTGATCTAGGCCTAGAGTATTCTTTGTGAGATTTTAAACTACAAATTCAACTTCTTTCATAAGTAGAGCTATTTTCCTTTTTTGGTTTTTAAGATATATTTATTCATGAGAGACAGAGAGAGAGGCAGAAACATAGGCGGGGGGGGGGGGGGCGCGGGGGGGCGGTGGTGGGAAGCAGGTTTCCTGCGGGGAGCCTGATGCAGGACTCCATCCCAGGGCTCCAGGATCACACCCTGAACTGAAGGCAGACTCTTGACTGCTGAGCCACCCAGGTATCCCAAGTTTTTTATTTCTTCTTGACTGAACTAAAATAATTTGGATCTTCCGAGGACTTTGTGGTCATCTAAATTGTCCAATTTATTATCATAAGTTGTTCATAATATTCTTTCTGCTGTTCTAGATTATCTATAGAAACTATAGTGGTTGTACCTCTTTCATTCCTGACACTGGCCATTTGTTTCTTTTTCTCCAGATCAATCTAATTAGAGGCTTATGAATTTTTTTTATTTTTATTTATTTTTTAGCTTTTCAAAGAATCAGCTTTTGGTTCAGTTAAATTTTCTCTATTATTTTTCTATCTCCAGTGTTATAGATTTCTATTTCACCTTTATTATTTCCCTTCTTCTGCTTATACTTTTATTTGCTCTTCTTTTTCTCATTTCTTAAAGTGGAAGCTGAAGTCACTGATTCAACACTCCTATATCCTTCACCAAAATATAGGTTTATCTAACATATAGTTTAGTGCTATAAATTTCCCTCTACATACTGCTTTAGTTGCATCACAAGATACAAGGTCAAAACACAAAAATCAATTGTATTTCTGTAGACCAGCAAGGAACAACTGGTAACCAAAATTAGAAAAACAATACCACTTACAATCGTTCCAAGAAAATAAATACTTAGCTATAAATCCAACAAAATTTGCCCAAGATCTGTATACTTAGACTACGAAATGCTGATGACAGAAGCCACAGATGTAAATAAATGGAGAGACAAGTCACATTTAGGGTTTAGAAGATTCAGTATCATATGTGATTCTCCTCAAACTTTATAGATTTAATGGAATTCCAATCAAAATCCCAACAACACTTGTGTATATATTAGCTCGTTCTAAATCTTATGGAGAGGCAAAATTGATAGAAAAGTTAAAATAATTTTGAAAAGGAAGAATAAAGTTAGAGGAATCACACTAATAGATTTTTAAGATGGATACAAGCTACAGTAACTTTGACGATGTGGTACTGGTAAAGGGAGAGACTCACAGATCAATGGAAGAGAATAGAAAGTCCAGACATTGACCCATACAAATATGGCTGATTGATTCCTGACAAAGATATAAAAAGAAATTCAGTGGAAAACAAAGTCTTTTCAACAAATGGTCCTGGAACAATTGGACATATAATCATATGCCCCCAAAACCAAATAAACCAAAAACATAAACCTCACACTTAAAAAAAAAAATTAACTCAAAGTAGATCATAAACCTAAATGTAATATTTGTAAAACTATAAAACATTTAGAATAGAAAAGCTTTGAGAACTAGGGCTAGACAGAGAATTCTTAGACATGACACTAAAAAGTACAGTGCATAAAAGAAAAAAAAATGATAAATTCTAGGTAAAGACACACTTGCCAATGGACTCAACACAAATTTCTAGTTCAAGAACACATGAAGTCCGTTTGAACTGTGCACCGTATGTGAATGAACCGTCAAATGCTTGGTTTTAATGGATGGATTCCTCTACACTTATCTATTGTGTGTGTTCACTACTTCATTTTGAAGCACTCTTGGACTTTAGCCTTTATTTTGTCCTAAAGCAGGGGTCAGCAAACTTTCTGTAAAGGGTCACAGTATTTTCAACTTTGTGGGCCAAAAAACCTCTGTTGCAACTACTTAACTCTGCCTTCAGCAGCCGGAGGCAACAGACACCTGTTTCTGTTGGGTAGGTTCCAATAAAACTTTACAAAAACTGAATGAGGTTTGATTTGGCCCATAAGGCCATATAGTTCACCAACCCCTATTCTAGGGACTAGAGGAGATGGTAAGGAGCTGGCCGTCGCATATTAGAACACAGAAGGCAGCTATGGGGCAGGACAAGGGCCAGCTTCCACGGACACTAAGCATTTAATGAGCAGCTGCATGGTTTTGCTGGAGAAACATCTCAACTGCTTGCAAGCACTGGCTCAAGGTAGTCTAATCAGGACTCCTGCTTTAGCAGCATGCGTACCTTGTGAAGCCTGTGGGGCCCAGGGACTGTGTCAAGAGCCCAGTCCTGGGGATCCCTGGGTGGCGCAGTGGTTTGGCGCCTGCCTTTGGCCCAGGGCGCGATCCTGGAGACCCGGGATCGAATCCCATGTCGGGCTCCCGGTGCATGGAGCCTGCTTCTCCCTCTGCCTGTGTCTCTGCCTCTCTCTCTCTTTCTCTCTGTGTGTGACTATCATATTTAAAAAAAAAAAAAGAGCCCAGTCCTCCTGACCTCAACCTCATGTCTTTCCCATTGAACAAGCCCCCCTTTACAGATAGCTCCCCAGAAAATCAGAAAGTCCCCAGAAAATCAAAAGCTTCACTTGCTGCACCATGCAAGTAACTGATTTGTCTCAGCATTGCCCGGGGACAGGATCAGAACCATCTACTGCATCAGCATCTTGACGTGAAACCCAGGTGACCTGGAAGCACACTCCAGGAAAAGGAATAGGGCCTCAGTGCCCCAGCCCATCAGTGGCCCAAGACACGCACACCTGCGGGGCCAGGGGCCAGGGCACTCTGCCAAGGCACCCCATCTCCAGAATACCCACAGCAGGCTTAAAGGAACAGACTTTATTAATCTAGCTCTTGAACACTAGAAGCTAAAATTCAGCTGCATTATAACAATCTATTTACAGAGTGCTGTCTGCAGGTCAGGTGGGGCTGGGATGGTTCTCCCCCAACCACCCACCAAATGCAGCCTCCAAACAGGTCTGGGCCACGTTCTACCTGCAGCACACGGAGAACATTTCTATACATGTGGCCAAAACCCCAGAGACAGAACACCAGGCAGGATGGCGCCAGACCAACAGAGGGGTGGGCAGACATGCATAGGGGCTGAGACTGACAAGAGGGCCAGGGGCCTCAGTACTTCTTGAGGCTGTAGGCCAGACTGCTGGGGAGCCTGGAACCCAGCAGGGGTGGTGAGTTCCAGACGGCAGAGCTGGTGCGCTTGTGGTAGCGGGGCTTGCTCTTCTTGAAGATGTCCTCCAAGTCCAGGGGGAGAATGGTTCCAAAGAGCTCAAGTAGGTTCGGGGGGTGGTAGTACTGGTGGATGATGGCCTGGCTTAGCTGAGTGCCTGTAGGGGCCACAGAGGGTCAGGTCACTGCCTGGGGGCTCCTCATGAGCCTCCCCATCCCCTGGCCCCTGTCACCCTCTCCGCCCCAGCAGGCCCCCAGTCCTGCCACATTGGCTTCTCTCACAGAGCCCCCTTCCCTGCAAATCCTCTTATGGCCTGTGCATCCTGCCATCCTCTGGCAGCTTAGCCTGAACACAGGTCCTCAGGCACTTACATGGGCCATGCCATGCCTGGGGCCCTCACTGCATGACCTCATTATCCCCACAAGGCAGCTCCTTTCTTCTCCCCATATTATAATGGTGAGACTTGCCCAAAGGTACACAGCTCGTGACTAGGGGAGCTGGGGCCTAGCTCCAGAACGTAAGCATACACTGCCATCCTCAGCTGCTGTGGTCAGCTGCTTCTCTCACCAGCCTGCAGGTCCCGTGGCACAGGGTGCTTGCTGAGGGGCCCCTGGGCCAAGGCTGTGGGTAACACACAGCCCTGCCAACAAGGCTTTAGGAGGCCCCATGGGGGTCAGGAGGTGGAACATGTGCCCAGCACTTACAAACACTAACTCACTTCATCCTAACTAACCCTTCTCAGCTGGTATCACTCCTATTTCACAGATGAGAAAACTGAGCCAGTTTAAGTAAGCTGGTGAAGGTCAACTACCATGAGGGGGCTCTTCCAACCATCCAGCTCCTCAGCCACACTGACTGCTGCCTGCGCCACCTCCCAGATGGCCTGATGCCAGAAGTTAAGGAGACTAAGTCAGATTCTGGCTAACATGGAGTTCAGATGAGGTACACCAAAGCAAGCTGTCTTCTGTAAAGAGTTGACCCTCTCTGAGGTTCTGAGCCCTGCTCTCTGGGAAGTGAGACTGCATCCTACCCTGACCCCCAGCTCAGCACACTCTATAAAGTGCCCATCGTTTGCATGGGGCCCACCCCTTTCCCAGTAGGCCTTGCACCCCGGTCGTGGTGGCGGTGGCCTGGTCACCCTCACTCACACTCCTGTTTAAACACTGGGGCCTGTAAACTCTGGGGTCAAATCCTCAAGTGCCTCCACCTCAGCCTTCCCCAGCTCCAGCTCTTGATGCCCTGCCTAAAACCTGCTACCACTCTTGGTGCTATTCCTACCCTAAGTTGCTTATTTGAGTCTCAGCTGGCCCATTGCGTGGGGCTCCAAAGAGGGGCACAGAGCCTGAGCTGGAACACCCAGCATCAGCAGCCAGTCATAATTTAACATGTTTGTTGAGAACAGAGGTCCCCAATACTGTAGATCTGGTCCTCAGATGAGCCCACTGGCCGTAGAGTACCCACCCTTCCCTGGGCACATCCCAAGGCCCAACACAGGCTTGTTGGGCCAACACTTCAAGCTGCCAGCTCACGGGTACAACAGCCTCCTGACGCCCACAGCTGCCGACCCACTACATCCAGGGTCCTCGATGTCAAAGTGAGGACCCAGGTCTCCTGGGGAATCCTGGGTACTGCTTACCTCTCGCCCAGGTGGGGATGGGCTTCCGGGGATGGGCCTCATCATCAGTGGAGTCATCGCTATTCAGATCCATCCCATAGTTATCTGGGTTGATCTTGGGGGGAGCTCTGTGGCCCTGGGGAGTCATCTGATATGAGGTACAAGCTGGAGACTGGAGAAGACAAACATGGCTGTCAACTCCCTGTCCCTGTATTCAGGCATCTCTCACCACTGAGGAGTGCTGGGGCTCTGGTCACCACCCCTCATTTCATGGGGAATAAAAAGGGGTTCAGAGGTTCACTTTTTAATTTAAAAAAAATTACCACATACATGACTATATCTTCCTTTTTCAAGTTTTAAGTATATTGCACACATTCTTCCTGGTCAGTGTGTCTCCTTTCTGACAGCCTTGGATGCTCCACTAGAAGACCCACGAATGGAAATTTTTTAACTGTTATAGATAAACATTCGGCACATTTCCAAATTTTTGTTATCAGGAACTATATGGCAATGAAAACCTTTCCACATACATTTTGCTGATAACAGCGTTAAGCTGGAAATTGCTTAAGTGTTAATCAACAAAGGCTTGTTAAAGAAATTTTGGTATAAGGAGTGGCTTGTACAAGGGTGGCTCACTGGGTTGAGCACCCCACCATTGGTTCTGGGTCAGGTCATGATCTCAGGGTCCTGAAACAGGGCCTTGCATTGGGTTCCATGCTCAGCACAGAATCTGCTTAAGATGCTCTCTCTCCTCTGCCCCTCCCACTGCTCACATGCTCCATAAATAAATAAAGTAAATAAATAAAGTAAATAAATAAATAAATAAATAAATAAATAAATAAATAAATAAATAAAATCAATCTTAGAAAAAGAAAATTCTAGCACAAGTAACTGGTATGCAGCCCTCAAATATGAGATCTGGAAGTACTGAAACACACAGATGACTACAACATACTAAATGGAAGGAGAAAATATCAAGCTGCCAAATGGTGTATGTTATAGACTAAATGTTGTTTGTGCCCCTGCGCCCCCCAAATTCTTCTGTGAAATCTTAACCCCTGATATGATGGTACTGGGAAGTGGGGCCTTTGGAGGTGATGAGGTCATGAGAGTGGAAGCCTCATGAGTGAGATTAGTGCCCCAAGCACAGAGGCCCCAGAGAGCCCCCTCTCCCTTTCTGCCACATGAGGATACAGGGAGAAGATGACCATCTGTGAGCCAGGAAGAAGAACCTCAGCAGACACTGAATGGGCTGGTGCCCTGACCCGGGACTTCCAGCCTCCAGAACTGTTGTTTAAGCCACCCAGAGTGGCAGTTTGTGACAGCAGCCTGAGCCAACCGACACAGTATGTATAGACAGTGCCCATTTAAGACTCTGTGTGTGTGACACTGGTCTCACATACAAGTGTGTATGTATATGAGTCTGAGTGTATGAGTGTGACAGTGTGTGTGAACACGTGAGAGTGTATGAGTGTGTGAGAGTGTGACCATATGAGTATGTGAGTGTGGGTGTGAGAGTGTGAGAGTGTATGTGCACAGAGGTTTATATGTGCAAATTATAGAAAGATATATACCAGACTTAGAGTTTTCCTCTAAGAGAAACCTAGCTGCTGCTTTTTTTTCTTTACAACAAATTCTACTTCCAGAGTAAGAAAACATACATACCAAAAATAGTAAAAACAATTGGGCCACTTGTGTCCTTCCTCTCTCTTACACTCCTAATACACAGTCTGTGCCTCCAGCTACTGGGAGGTGAAGAACCAGAGCCGGGGGGCCCTCTCCTCTGGGTGCCTGGCCTCACCTGCACATCCATAGTCACATTCAGGCCTTTGCCGGTCACCGCCACCTCCTTGGCTTTCCTCTGCTGCTCCTCAGCCAGCCGCTCCTCCCGCAGCCTCTCCTGCTCCTCCTGGGGCCCAGAGGACACCGGGTGTTAGAGTCCCTGCCTGTGAGCACACCCCCCTGGCTGTGCCCCACTCCCTGCCCCATGTCAACCCCATGGGCAGGACAGGCAGGGCAGGCGAGGCAGCTCCTAACCCAGGAGCTCTCAAGGTGGCCCAGAGCTCGGCACAGACCCATGGGAGTCCTAGGCCTGCTTCCCCTTTACCTTTTTCTTCTTCTCCTCCAGTTCCCTCTGCAGCCGCTCCTTCTGTAACTGCAGGGCCTTCTCCCGCTCCCGCTCCTGCTGCTCCCTGGGGACCAAGCAAGAGCTGGTCAGGACAGGAAGCAGAGTCCTGGGCTCCCCTCCCGCCCCCAGCAAAAGAGCCTGTCCTTTTGCAGACCCCCAAGTAAAGAGGGGAGCTGCCTCCTGCTGCTGGTTGCACGTCTCTCTTCCACACCCTCACAGGAGAGCAGGTGGCATGACGGCATGATGCCACCTTGGGCGGCTAGGGAGCAGGCCCCTCACCTCTCGGCCTGGAGCCGCTCCTGCTCCTTCCTGCGCTCCTGTTCCCGCTGCTCCGCCAGCTGTCGCTCCTGCTCCCGCTGCTCCGCCAGCCTCTTGGCCTCGGCCACCTTGCGCAGCCGCTCCTGCTCCTCCTCCTTCTTCTTCTGCAACAGCTCCTGGTGCCTGCGCTCCTCCTCGTCCTGTGATTGGACCACAAGGTGAGGGCCCTGGTGCCAGCCCAGGGGCCAGAGAAGTGAGAGAGAGGTCAGGGGGAGCAGCCAGGGGAGCCTGGCCAGAGAGCCTGCTCCCTCCCAACAGGGACACCCTGAGCAAAGTTCCTCAAGAATTGCCATTCTGAAAACCGCTTTTCGTGCAGCAACAGAGTCATTAGTTAAGGGTGGAGACTGGAGCCAGACTCACGAGCTGTGTGACCCCAAGCAAGTGGCTTGAGCTCTCTGGCCTCGGTTTCCTCACTGATCAAACAGGAACAACAGTAATACCTACCACCTCATCAAGTTGCTGAGTTCATACACCAAACATACTTAGGGCAGTGTCTGGCACATAGCAAATACTAAATAACTTTTAGTTATTACTATTATAACCCCCTAGTGACAGTTTTGTGTTCCCTATTGTCCCAGGACTGACAATTCCCCCAGGGAAGTAAACCCCTACTCTTTAAGGCAAAATGTGCAATCCTCACACCAATCCTCTCAAGCAGACACCACTGTAACCTCTAGGAATTGAAGCCCAGCAAGGTCAAGTAACTTGCCCAGGGTCACACAGCTACTAAGTGGCATAGCTGAGACTGAACGCCTGGCTCCGGAGTCCATATATATTTAACCTTCGAACTGTCATCTCTATGGAAAACGGGATGCAAGTCACTGTCACCATCTGCCAGATATGTGTTGAGCCTCCTCCAGGCTTAAAGCAACAAGAGCCACCAAGACCAACCCCACAAGGGGGTGTGCTCGGTGGTGCTCAGGGGTTGAGGCACCTCCCTGCCTTCCGCACTAAGCCCCTCTGCCCACCTATCCTTGTACCTGTTGGAGCCGCCTGAGCCGCCGCACCTCCTCCTCCTGCTTGCGGCGTGCCTCCACCTCCTCCATCTTCTTGGCTGCGGCCTTTTTCTTGGCTTTCTCCTCAGCCAGCCGCTCTTCCTTGGCCTGTAGAGCCCATCCATATGTGCCCATTAGAGCATACTCCTCCTCACTCAGCCCTGCAGCATGGGCCCAGAACTCTGCACCTAGTGCCTCTGCAACCCCAGTTGTTCCCCATTGCCCAGGGGAGGGTGGCACCCGGAAGCCACAGACCACCAAGTCTGATGTGCTTGGGGCCAGCCAGGGTACAGCCCACCCCGGAGTGTGGCTGCCCACCAGCCCAAGGCTCGTACCTTCTCGGTCTTCTCGTCAATCTGAGCAAACTTCTGCTCAATCTGCTTCTTCTTCTCCTCCTTCATCTGCTCCACCCGCTCCCGGGCCAGCAGCACCTTACGAAGACGCTCTTCACGCTTCCTGCGGGCACAGGGCAGTCACAGGGAGCCCACGGAGGCTGGGGTAGGCCGGGGTAGGCCAGAGCCAGGCCACTTACAGCTTCACTTCCTCCAGCCGCCGCCGCTTATCCTCCTCCACTTTCTGCCGACGGAGCAGCTCAGCCTCCTCCTTCCGCCGCAGGTTCTCCAGGCGCTGCCTCTCCTTCTCCTGGGGCAGGGTGGGGCGGAGTAGGAGGGGTGAACAAGGCCCTGATGTGGGGACAACCCCCTACCACTTCCCCGCAGCCCCCCAGGTCCCCGCCAGATGGCTTGAGGGGCAGAGGCACCCCCAAACACACCTCCCTCCCCAACCAGATTGAGGCCTGGGCTTCAGTCCTTCTGAAGGCACCGGCAGGCCTCCCAAGTGCCCTTGACTGCACCCTGCTAAGTCGCAGCAGTGCAAAAATCAGGCTCAAAACTGGATTGATTGTAACTATGTTTAAAGTGCACTTGTCTTCGAAGAGAAAGGATGAGACGGGGAAGGGACAGAGGAATATAAAAGTTACAGTTCACATTCTATCTGGGGTGGGGGGTGGTGGGTATGTGTTTGTCGTTATTACTATGCTTTGTCACTTTTACACTATGTGTACACACACAAATACTCTTTTATGTTTCTCAATATTTGAAAAAAATAAAATATGGCCAAATGTTAACATAGATTACTATGGCTAGTGAGATATATTAAAGATGGCATATTTTCCAAACTCCCTGTGATACACGTACGTAATGATTTTAGCCACAACTTTTTTAAAGTACTAGCTGGGTGGTTAGCAATTCAATGCTGGGACCTTCCTCCCCTGTGTGCCCAGAAAGCCCCAGGGGCACAGTAGTGGGCAACCAGAGGGCACAGGTGGGGGCTTCAAGCCCTCCCTGGCCAAGGACAAGACTGATACTCCCCACCCCGATGGTTGGGATGTGAGGGTGGGGGCTGGGACCTACCTAGACCAGGGCCCTCACCCCCACCTGGCTCCATCAGACTCTCACCTCTGGGCTTGGCCGCCCGTAGGCCCCCTCCTTGTATTAGTGACTCTCCATTTCTCCCTGGCCTCTGACCTAGACTGTAGATTTCCCACCTAGAAATCTGGCCCCAAGGTAAGAAAACACTAAAGATAGAGAGAAGGGCTCCTCTGGTTGTGGGTAGATACACTCCATGCTGCCTCTCCCACTGAATGTGGCCGAAAGACCCAACTGCATGGAGTATCTAGATGAGCAGACAGATGGGGAAGATCAGGCTTTGAAGCATCACTGAACCCACAGCAAGTTTACCATGATTTTTCCTCTAGTCTAAACTCAATGAGGTCTGAACCCCCAACGGGATCCAAGGATGCCGACAGACAGAATCTGGGAAAGGTCCTCTCATTCTAACTCAAGAACTGGAAAGGGGACATTGAATGCTCAGAGTATGCAGAGACCCCACTTTTGGTTTGTCCTTTTCTTCCTCCTCTCATGTCCCAGGCCATAAGCAACCCTGTGGCCTGGGGACAGCAGCAGTTACAAGATCCTGCAGAGTCAAAACTCTGAGGAAGGAGAAGCATCCCCTCCACACTATGGAGCTGTGATCCTGAAAGGTTGTGAAAATGCTGCTCCTCCTTTCTGTCTCCCCACCAGGTGACTCTGGATGAGGTCTTGGAAGCACACAGCACAACAGGGTAACTAAAGCCCCAGTTTCCTGGCTGGAGACAGAGGGGAAGAACCCCAGAGAAGTAAAATGTACCAGATGGATAGAAAAAAGGACACTAGGCTATTTGTGAACTCCAGGGCTCAACCATAAGCTGCAGAGGCATGAAGCTGACCATAACTATTCTATCAAAAACTTCTGAGAATTAAACTCACAGACCACCTGCCAGATCCCATCCTGACCACCGACCAACACACCCAGGACAGATCCAAAGAGCACTGCAGAGGCTTTGCAATCTGAACATTGGAACCATACCCCACAGAAGCCAGGGTGGCACTCATACCCTGAACCAACCAGGTGGGTCACCAGTAGAGCAAAATACCAACATTTTAAGATTTAAACAACATGCATAATATTCAACATATTCTAACATAATATTCAAAATAGCCAGGATATAATCCACAATTCCTCAGCATACTAAGAACCAGGAAAATCTCAGCTCCCATGTGAAGACCATCAGCAGCCACCAATGCTGAGATGAGAGATGTTAGACTTATCTGACAAAGACGTCTCAGCTGCTCTTATAAAAATGTCTTGACAGGAATCACTTTTTTTTTTTTAAGGTTTTATTTATTCATGAGACACACAAAGACAGGAGGCACAAACACAGGCAGAGGGAGAAGCAGGCTCCATGCAGGGAACCTGACCTGGGACTCGATCCCGGGTCTCCAGGATTACACCTTGGGCTGAAGGTGGTACTAAACTGCGGAGCCACCCAGACTGCCCAGGAAATCACATTCTTAAGTCGCAAAAGAGAAAATCTCAGCAAACAGAAGATCTCAAAAAAAGCAAATTGGAAATTTTAGAACTCAAAATACAGTCATGGGAGATGAAAAATTCAGTGTGTAGGTCCAAAAGCAGAATGGAAAAGACAGGCAAGTGTCAGTAAACATGAAAATAAGTCAGGAAAGTGTATCTGATCCAAACAAAGAGAAAGCTATTGAAGAGAAATAGATAGACCCCAAAGTACTGTGAGACATACGGGAAGGCCCGCCACAGGCATGGGTGTCATCACCACCTGCGACGGAGAGGAAAGAACACACAGAATTTCTCAGGAAGAGTAGCTGCAAACACTCCACGTCTGGAAAAGGTCTAATTATGCAGGTTCAAGGTCACCCACACAGGGTGACGAGCAGGAAGCTGACTCTTACCCCCTGCTCTCCACTGAGGAAAGCTCCTTGGAGGTGAAAGTCACAAGCCACCCAGAGCACCCACCACCCCGTCTCTCCCTTCCTGCCCTAAGTGCCAACCAGACTCCTGCTTCCCATAGGGCTCAGCAAAACCTGTTTTACTCCTGAAGGCTGAGTGTTAAAATTTCCCAGCAGAGGTCAGGGAGACTATCCTGGGCATTGTGAATTTTACGGAAGAAAGTAAGAGTTGTCTGTGTCAGAATCCACATGTACATCCTCTGCCCCGACCCTCCAAGGTAGGTGGGTGGTCTCTGCTCCCTAGACGTGAGAAAACCAAAAGCTTGCTGAGCCCCTTCTGCCTCCAGGGGCCACAGCTGAGCAGTCTCTCTGCCTTTTACTAAAAACTGTGTCACACCAAGCCCTGTGCTGGGTGCTTGGAACACAGGACTCTGGTTCATCCATATCTATGAAATGACTTCGATCTCATTCCGTAGCCAAAGGAAACTCAGCTAAAGGTTAGGAAACTAGTCCAAGGCCCCGAGGTCCCTGTGACCCACTTAGGACCCCGTCTCCTGAGAACTGTCCTACCACCTCCAGATGCCCTGTGAGGGACCTGGGCTCCCCAAAGCAGGAAAGGACAGCTCCTGGGACCTCTCGGTCATCCCCACAAGGCCTGCCAGGTTCCAATCAAGTCTGTGTGGGGCATGGAAGTTCTCTGTAGCAAGAGCAAGTCCAAGTCTAGTTCACTGCTGTGAGCTCAGGAGCCTGGCACACGTCACTGTGTAAGGCCACACAGCCCACTCGCCTGCATGCTGGAAGGCAAGCCATCACCTCGTTCAACCAAAGGGGACCAGGCTCCTTGCAGGAGAAGCAAGCTCGGAGGCCTACCTGTCCAGCTGCTGAGAAGCCCCTGGACCCACCAAGCCCAGGCCCTCAGCTAAGAGGCAGAAGCCGTCCTAGTAGAAGGCCCTCCGAAGCACCAGTGGGTACAAAGGGATGTGGCCTTGTAACCTAGGAGACTCCAGGAAGCCAAGACTACAGGCTGGGCAGATCCCAGCTCTCTGGGGCTCCTTCCTCAGGGCTGTGGCCTGGCTCAGCTCCGAGGTATCTGAGAAGAGAACAGCTTCTGTGGCCTTCTCTCCAGAGGCTGCTGTGGACAATTCCAGCACTCCCCCATAAGACCCAGCCTTCAGCCATGGTTTCCTGCATTGCTCTGCCCCTCGAGACAGGAGTTCAGGTCTGTGACCCAATAAATCTCAGCAGCTCTGAGGATGAGAGGCAACTTATCTGTTCTCTTCTCAGTGCCTGACCATGAGGGGCAGTCCGGTGCTGGGAGTGGGGAGGGAGGTGCTGTGGGGAAATTCAAGCTATGGCCCCAGTAATGAGCCTGCAGGTTGCACCCCCTCTGCCTCCTCTGGCTTCAAGGAGGCCCTGAGATCAACATTTGTCTTCCAGGGAGCAGAGACGAAGGCAGAGAGGACAGGCCCTGTGGAGGGAGGACACCAAGGGTCTCCAGGCAGTCACCCAATGTCTCAAGGCTCCCCTGCCCCCTTTGCTGCTCCCTCTTCACCTCCCGCTCCACCTCCTACTCCACCTCCCACTCTATCTCCCACTCCACCTCCCCTACCTCCCACTCCACCTCCTGTGTTAGTGCTGCTACAGACTGATGGGTTTAGGGGGAGCTAGGTTACCAGGACAGGAAAAAGCTTTACTTACAACAAAGCTGCACTGTGGGCAAGGAGAGACAAGAAAAAGCCAGGAGTTAATGCCAGGCTGGGGGACTCCTTGAAAGCAGGCCACCTTCTTGGCTATGCCAGCATCACTTGGGGCCTGCACCTTCTCATCACTTGGGGCCTGCACCCTCTCATCAGCAGCAGCCCCACCCTCTGGCTTCCCCCTGTCTCACCAGTACCCATCCCCAGTGTATGTCCCTCACCTTAACAACTCAAGACACCAGAGAGGTGTAGGAAATATGGGGACAGATGGTCATGGTGGTCATGGCAATGACCAGCTATGCCATTTCTACTACTTCCCAGCTCGGGGCCAAAACCAGGGAGTCACACAGCCGGCTAAGTCTCTGAGCTGTAGTGCAGAGCCCAGGAAGCCAGAACAGTGCTCAAATACTGAGGCAGCCCATGGCCGTAGAAGATGGAGCTAGCCCTTGACTGGTGCCAGGCCACAGCTGCCTTGGCCCAGATCCATGCTACTCCCAGCAACCGAGAAGACAGACTGGAGCCTTCAGCCATACTACCCCACTCTAGCAAAGCTTGGCCAGGGGTATGGGCTCCCTCACCTTAGGGTCCACACGCAGGGGAGTGTTGCGCTTGATGAAGGATTTCATGACACTGCCATGGGGGGCTGAGGTTGGGGTCATGAGCATCTGGTTCCTCTGCACAGTGTGCAGGAAGGTCCGGAGGGGCCGTACCACCTGGATAAGGTGAGGACCAGGGTAAGGATTCACGGTGGAGGAGGGGGAGGGGTGGATGTCAAGCAGGGAGGGCAGATGCCCACTCACTTTGCTGGCTGGACAGGGTGGGGAAGGCGTCTTGCTCCTGGGGGCTTGCAGCTCCTCATCCTCCAGCTGCTGCTCGTCGTCCAGCTCACTCACTGCCTGCTTGTAGCTGCGCTTCCTCCTGCCGTAGCACAATGAAAGCCACATCATAGGGCTGACCCTAGCACCTTCCCCAGAGCCCCAGCCATACACCATAAAAGGTCCCCTATGAACAAAACTGGGCCTGGCTCATGGAGCTCCAGACTAAAAAGCACTGCTGAGGTGGGTGGGGTCTCCCTGACCAGTCCTCTGCTGCCAAGAGGAAGGAAAGTGACCTGTCCTAGGTCACACAGCCAGGAAGATGAACAGCTCAGGGCCTAGGATCTGGTTACCCACTTCCACACCAGGTTTGTCTCACAGCAGGGAGCCAACTCCTTCATTAAACCAGAGTACTAGCCCCACCCCTGTAAGGAGGAAACAGGCCCCTGACCACATGCCCACCCTCCCCGAGTAAGGAGTCAAAGTTCATGCCGCTTTGGGACCCTCAGAATAGTGGCCTGCACACCACTGCCCAGATGCAAACCTGACACTCTGGGATGGCTCCTTGGGGCTATCTCCTTGGTCAGTCTTGGGTTCTGTGAAGAGAGCAATTTTGTGAGGCTGCAGGGACAGCTTGGAGGGGTCAGGGGAAGAAGCCTGCCCAGAAGAAGCCACGGCAGGGGAAAGACTCTCTTCCTGGCAGACCCCAGGGTGACCAGTGGCAGAAGTCATCAGCCTCAGCACCAACTGGCCTTGAGAAATGTGTGGACATCTGGAGCCCAGCCTGCTATGCCCAGCCCACAGACCCCTCACTCTCCATGCTGGGCCCCTGTGACAAGAATGGCAGGACAATCCTATTGAGGTGGACCCAATTGTGTCTCGTCTACCTCGAACAGTGAGATCTGGGGGGAGGGTTGTGAGGGGTGGGGAGAGGTAGCTTTCAGGAACAGAAGCCCATGGAAACTGCAAACTCTCACAGACCTTTGTCCTCTTCACACAGGGCACCCACAAAGGTGAGAAGTAGGCCAGCAACAGAGACACAACAAGGCCAGGTGTTCACACCCCAGCACAGAGTTCCTCCTGCTACCCCCGGGAGAGGCGCCCAAGTCTCTTATCCTGGCATATTCACAGTCAGTGCCTCAGCTGAGGCCCCCAACCCTTACCCAGCTTCATACACCGACCACCCATGGCCATTCCCATGGCACTCAGCAGCAGCTCCAGCCAAAAGGTGGGAAATGAAACCTGCAGACCCAAAGGAGATCTACACACGCTGGGGTCCCATTTACCTTTGGCCAATAGCCCAGAATATGGGCTTCTCTCTCCCCAGATAAAAAGTCAGGCCAAGGACACCAGCGCCACTTCGGCCCTGGTTTATGCACATGGCAGGTCAGAAAGACTCACCTTGTTGCCCTTCAGAGGGTGTTTCCTGGCCACCAGCCAAAGGCCTCGAGCCAGGTGTGCTAATGGCGATCTTGGTGGCACTACGGGGGCACAAGGTACTCCTGTCATCCTTGGAGACCTGGGGGAGGAACCAAGGCACTGGGGTCTCACCTGAGACTCACAGGCCCATGAGCCCTCTGCTCCTTGGCTTGCTTGCCTTACCTCTGGCTCAGCTGCCTCTACTGGCTCAGCCTCCTCGCTGGGCTTCTGCTCACGGCTGAAAGTAGAGCAAGAGGCATGTGGGACCCACCCACCTAGCCTGAGTCCTCACAGGATCCCCTCCCTACACCATCAGATGCCCTGGCCTGGGTCACAAACCCACAGTGCCAGGCAGGCCAGGACAGCAGCCAGAGTCGGGGGCTCCCTGGATGCCTGCCACCTAGGCAGGCAAGGGCAGTTGGCTTCTGGATTCAGTTGCACTCACCCCATCAGGGCCTGATTCAGGAGGTCAGCTCTTCTCTAGCTCCACCCCAAACCATTGTGCCCCGCTGAGCCGCCACCATCCCTTGTTTCTTGTGAGGCCTGCCCTCGATTCACCATAGGGCCAGCAAAGCCAGGAGGTCTGCCCAGTCACCCTATTTCCCCAGCCCAAAGCAGGGGCAGGAGGGCCCTAGTTTTAGTGATGGCAAGGTGGGGCCTCAAGGAAAAGCAGTGCTGGCCCAAAGCAGTGCTGGGGTGTAATCCTGGGGCAGGGAGCCCTCTCAGCCCCCACACCATCCCCAACTTCCCCCATCGCGATAGGAATGTAGCTCCTCACACCTGCACTACCTCATTCCCAGGCCTTTGCATTTGACAACTCATGGAGTCCACACCCCAGGGTAAAGGCCAGGGCTGACACCTGTATTATGTACTGCCGGGTTAGAATGGGGTGGGGCTGCAGCAGTAGGCAGTCCCCACAAGGAAGGAAGGCTTGGGCACAGGAAATGTTTGTACCCCCGAGGTTTCCCTGCAAAGGTATCCACGTGCCTTGCCCTAGAAAGGTTCCCAAGCCCTAGAACTGAACTCACCCAACTTTTTGGGGCACCTCAACATTCAAGAGCCTCTCCAGGTAACTGTGACCTGAGGGGAAAACAAATGAACAAACGATGCCTCAGAAAGAGCCACTCCAAAAGATCCAGAGAGCCAGGTGTTGGTCGGGGCTTGGCCACTCTTCATCTGCAGCCAGACCTCTCCACCTCAGAGACCTCCCTTCCTAGACTCAGGCCCTCTCCACCTTAGACACCACTCCCTTCACTGGGTGAGAGGCCCTGAGCACATTCTCTCTACTCCTAGCATCCTCAGTAGAGCTGTTGGCTTTATGTCTCCTACTACTCCCTAGCTGGCAAGCTTCCCATCTGAGGGCACCTCTTGACTCCTTCACCGGGCTAGAAAGATCTTGAGAAGAGGGACAATGTCTGACTCCAGGCCCCCAACATCCAGCATGGGGCCCAACACAAAGAAGCTTATTCATTCAACAATTATTCTTTGAGGGCCTAGTATGGATCAGGCCCAGAGCCAAGCCCCAGGGACCCAATGGTGAGCAAAACAGACAGAGCCACTATCTGGTCTACATAACCATCAAATAATGATGAAATGGTGAAAGACATATGCTATGTGTGAAGACAGAAAAGAGGTGAGGATTCTGAAAGACCGTAATGGGGACCTGAGCTGGTCTAGATGCTGAGATATGAAGGAAAAGACAGGCACAAACAAAGAGGTAGGGTTGGCAGGGAGCAGAAGGATGTCTAGGCCAGCGGCTCCCAAAGCATATTCTCTAACTCCTGGAAGTCAAGTGCCCGAGACCTTTTCGCGGGGGGATCTGTGAAGTCCTAGCAGTTTTCATCATAACACAAAAACATAAATTTGCTTTTTCACTGTGCTGGGATTTAGCCTGAAAGTGCAAAAGCAATGCTAGGTGAGACAGACCAAAGTGGAATCAATGATAGCTTCTGATTCCACACTGCAATGAGCCTCTAAGAAGCCACCACTTGTTGAATATGAACAAATTATCTGAAAAGACTTTTAAAGTACTCCTCTCTCTTCCAACTATGGATCTGCATGAGGCCAATTTTTCTTCATGTTTTAACCCAAACAACACTAGGCAACAGATGTGAGTATAGAATCCAGCTGCCTTCTTTTAACCCACACATTCAAAAGAGCTGCAGGATGTAGAAGAGTACCAGTCTCCTCATTACAGTTTTGTTGTGGAAAAGAGTTAATTATTTTATTCCTTAAAAAAAATCTAACATTGGGACGCCTGGGTGGCTCAGCGGTTGAGCATCTGCTTTCGGCTCAGGTCGTGATCCTGGAGTCCCAGGATGAAGTCCGTCAGGCTCCCTGCATGGAGCCTGCTTCTCCCCGTGCCTGTGTCTCTGCCTCTCTCTCTGTATGTCTCTCATGAATAAATAAATAAAATCTTAAAAAAAAAAAAAATACTGAGCTGGTACCATATCAAGCACTAAAATGGGGTCTCTACCCACATTCAAGGCAGGTGTTATCACCATTTAACAGATAAGAAAACCGAGGTCCGGGGATCCCTGGGTGGCTCAGTGGTTTAGTGCCTGCCTTCAGCCCAGGGCGTGATCCTGGAGACCCAGGATCGAGTCTCACATCAGCCTCCCTGCATGGAGCCTGCTTCTCCCTCTGCCTGCGTCTCTGCCTCTCTCTATATATGTACCTTTCATGAATAAATAAAATCTTTAAAAAGAAAAAAGAAAACCGAGGTCCTGGGAAGGGTGTGCCCAAGGTCACCGAGGCCCCGTGTGACTCCCGAGCTTAACTACCACCTTTTATAATCTCCCTCCTTTCCCTCTTCCCTCCCCCTCAAGGTGGATGAGCCATGGGCTTAGAGTGAGCAGACTGGTCTAGAGTCTCTACCCCACCTTCCCTCTGGAGCTCCAGGCTCACTTGCTCTACTAGACCCCTTCCAAGGATCAGACTTGGGCCTAAGGTAACCACCATGGCAAGTCAAATATCTCAGCCATTCTGAGTATCCAAAAACGGACGTCAAACACCTGGACTGCATGTCCTAAGGCTCCAGGCCCTGGAGCAAGCCTTACCTCTGATAGGGCAGAGACCTAGCAGGTGAGGTGCCCTTACCTCCTGACCTAAACTACACTCCAGGGCTCTCCACAAAGCCTCCTTAGCAACCAGCTCACCATCCCGGAAAGGCTAAAATGTGGGGCTCAAGCCCGTTTCCCAATTTTATAGATTCGGTGGCCACCGTAAGCTTCAGGTTCCTCCTCTGTAAAGTGAGGGATTCTAAAAGACTAAGAATGGGGCTGCAAGGGCCAAACAAGAACCTAGTGTTTCCTACATCTGGAAGTGCCAGACAGACAATGACCCCAATTTTAATTCACATTCACTTAAAACCTGGCCCTTCTGCTCCATCAGCCTTGCCTTCCTCTGGGTGGACCCTGGTGGCGGCCTCTTCCCCTGTCTCCCTGCCTCCTTTGCTCCCTTCCTTCTGGCCATTTTTCACACATACAGTGCCAGGGACCTTTCAACAACCAACAAGGGGCTCCATCCTCTGGGCCAGTGGGGTCAAGCCCAAGTCCCCTGTGTAGCACATGAGCCCAAGATAGCCTATCACTTGCCATATTATTCCTGGGGGTCTTTGTACAGGCTGTTTCCTCTGCCAGGGATCCCTTCCCCACATTTTTCCCCACCTGCCAACAGCATAGGCATCCTTCAAAACCCTCCCAGCTCAGACCCCACCTCCTCCATGCAGCCAGCCCTGACTCTTACAGCTGCCTACCCTCCTCTGTGGCTCAAAATATCTGCTCCCACGAGAACAGCCCCCTGAGCTGGGACCAGATGATGATAGAAATGGCTAATGTTAGGGGCACCTGGGTGGCTCAGCAGGTTAAGGTTAAGCATCTGGCTCTTGGTTTCGGCTCGGATCATGACCTCAAGATTGTCGGATCGAGCCCCACATCAGGCTCCACACTCAGTGCAGTCTGCTTAAGACTCCCTCTCCAGGGGATCCCTGAGTGGTTCAGCGGTTCAGCACCTGCCTTAGGCCCAGGACGTGATCCTGGAGTCCCGGAATCGAGTCCTGTGTCGGGCTCCCGGCATGGAGTCTGCTTCTCCCTCTGCCTGTGTCTCTGCCCCTCTCTCTCTATGTCTATCATGAAAAAATAACATCTTTAAAAAAAAAAAAAAAGATTCCCTCTCCCTCTGCTCTTCCCCCTGCTTGTGCTCTCTCTGCCTCTCTCAAATAAATAAATAAATCTTAAAAAAAAAAAAAAAGGCTAACATTAACAGCTGAGGCCCACAAAGAAACTTCTGTAACCAGCTCAAGGTTGCAGGACAGGTAAACGGCTGAGCTAGCACTAAACCCAGTTCTCTGTCTGGCCAGAATGAGCCTGCTATGATGAGAATCCACAGTATCTCCAGAGCAGCAGTTTGGCTAACAGGAGGCGGTCGACAAATGTGGTCAAACTAAGTGAGCCTCTACGGGAAGAAAGTGGCCTTGGGTAAAAGGCCTAAGTTTGAGCCTCAACATGGCCATTAACCACAGGAACACTGTGGCCAACCTCCCTAGACCTCAGTTTCCTCATTTGTAAAGTCAGAAGGTTGTATTAGATTTGCGCTGTCCCATATATATGGTAGCTATTAGTTTAAATCTAAATGAAGTAAAATGTAATAGAACTAAAAATTCAGTTCCTCAATCATACTAGCCACTTTCTAACCGCTCAACAGCCACATGTGGTGAGCACTGGCTATGTAGGGAACAGCACAGACATGGAACACTTTAGAAAGTTCTAGGGACAGCTCCCTGCCAGATAGTTCCCCAGAGCACCTCTGGCTGAGCCAGGCACCAAGGACCATCCACCGAGTACCCTTCTCCCGCTGAGCCCCACCCCCTCGACTCACAGATGATGCGGGCAGAGGCAGCTGGCTCTTCAGTGGCCTTCTTGCCAATCCTCCTGCTTGACCTGCGGACAGGTTTCTCCTGTTTGGCCACCAGGGAATACTCCTGGGCCAGGGAGACCTGGCAGCCAGGGGAGGACGGGGCAATCAGGCTGTGCCACACTGACTGCTGGTCCACATGGGTGCCCGTGGGTGTGGAGCAGTTATCCGGCAGGATGGAAGTCAGCACCCGCCCCGGCCACGGGGAGGCCAGAGAACCCGGCAAGTCCTGCGGGCCTGGGAAGGCCTGCACCATCCTGAGCTTGGAGGCAGACCGGCTTGTTCCAACCCCTTGACCCTTGGGATCCTGGGGTGTAGCCATCAGGGAGCTCACAGTGATGGTTTCTGGTCTCCCAGCCTCTGGCTTCTTGGGTGTTGAATCCTCCTCTGACAGCAAGATGCTGTGGGAGGCGGGAGTGGTGGCCGAAGGGGATGGAGCCAGAGGAGTCTGGACAGACTTGAGCTGGTCAAGGTGCTGCTCGGCACTCTTGCGCTCTGGGACGCCGATCTCTACCACGGGCACCAGCTGGCCCTGGGCCAGGCTGTTTTTAGGCTTCTTGGTCAGCGCAGGGGAAGACTCAGGGCTGGGCGAAGGGGTAGCTAACACCGCAGTGGCTGCTGCCGCCGCTGCAGCTGCAGCACGAGTCACCCGCCGCAGGACAGAGCCGTTCTCTCCCACCACCGTGGCCAGCTTCTCCACCTTGCCCTTGCTGCGGAGGTGCCGGGAGCTCAGCTGGCTGCTCCGGGACAGCCTGCGGGACAGCCTGAAGGAGGCAGCAGAGCAGAAACTAAGACAATTCAATGGGGCAAGGGACACCCTGAAAGTGGAGCAGGGGGCACCAATCTCCCCACAAGCCACTAGCTTACATGGGTTATGAACCAGAGGGCTTGGAGCTAGAAAACCAAAGCTCTAGTCCTGGCTCTGACAATCCCCAGACCCTTGTCTGTTCCTTTCTGAGCCTCAGCCTGACTGGGATAATTGGGATAATGCCAGACCTCACATAATGCCAGACTTCACAAAACTGCTGGGAAGATTATACAAATCTCCCACTGACTGAGGTCACACAGCACCACACATCTTGGTGGAGGCTCTACTCTTTTTGTCACTTAATCCACAAAATGGGCCTGAGAGGTAGGGACCATCCTCACCTTAGAGATGAGCTAACTGAAGCTCAAAGGTAGAAAATTAACCCAAGGACACTTAGCCTTGAAGGGCAGAGCTAGGGTGTGTGCTCTGGACCACATGACCCCAAGAGCCAGCCTCTTTCCCCCAGCACTCTGCAGCCAACAGTCATTTCCATGAGCATTATCAAGTGCAGCAACAGGAGGAACCCCTAATCCACACCTCTGGCTGCTTTCACTCAAGCAGAAGGTTGGATTCTCTTTCTTCTCCCACCTCTGGAAATTCTTCCCACCCCCCAAGGCCCAGAACATAAACATACACTCTCTCTCTCTCACACACACACACACACACACACACACACACACACACACACCCTGGAGTCCTTGGTCTAAGGTCATGCTTTGTTTCCCTGGGACATCTGACCCCTCAGCATGGCCCACGTGGTATCCACCACTATTCCTGCCAGCCACTGCTCCCAGTTAACACCTGCAAATCAAAGTCTCCTGGCAGGCAGCAAGCCACCAGGCCCCACCTACCCAGCTGACCCTCCTTCCCACCTTTTCCGGATGGGGTTTCTGTTTTCATCCTGAACATAAGAAATCCGCCTCTTCTTCTGTCGGTTTTTCTGAGAAGGTGTTTTGGGCATCAGCTCAGGCTCCTTGCTGAATTCTCTGTTTGGTATAAGGATAATGATAGTTGAAGCTGCCCCAGAACCCAACCCAGACTGGCCCCACCCATTTCCTGGCAGTGACAAGTCAAGCTGGGATGACCAGCACCAACTTCTTATAGGCCATGTGCAAGTCCCCTGCCAGGTATCTGGGGCTTCCTCCTGGAGACACATGGGGTACAAGGCTACCAGGCAACTCTCTGCAGCCCCATCCTCTGAGGGCCAACCCAGCACCTCCTCCTCCTCTTCCATTCTATTAGGGTAGCCCCCCGCACCCTGGGCACTCTGGAGGGACCCTTGGCAGCCTGTCACATGGGTCAAGTGAGGATGTAGGCTCCTGTGCCCCCAAGGTACCTCCCACCAACACACCCCTGCCTTTACCTGGTGAACATGCGCTCGGCTTCCTCCTCAATCTCTTCGAGCCACACTAAGTCCTTATTATCCACATTGCAGATAAACTCCATGAGCTTCTGGTCACACAGCTCCAGCAGGTGAATGGGCCCTGGGGCTGTCGACCCCATGGTGGCTCTATCTCGTGAAAGCAGATAAGAGGTGCAAGGGCTCAGGGCTGGGGCTGGAACCCCATCTTCAAGGGGAAGAGCCTGGCAGGGCGCAGGACCCATCCCAAATCTCAACCACCTAGTACCTGGATTGGAGCCCCTTCCTGCTTACAGCCACTCCCGGAGGTGTAGAATTCCAAATGCCAATCCACAAGCCTCATTTTTGCAAAAAGAAGGGCCCACCCTTCTTGCTCTTCAAATGCTTCCTAAACCGATCCACCCACCCACAGCACACTGTCCCTTTAAGTCCACCCTTCCCAGCCAATTCTAGTAGCAACAGTCCTTACAAATGGCCTTTGGGGGGGCGGGGGGCTTAAAATGACAAGACACAGCCAACCGCTTTCCTGGGTCAGGGAGAAACCGCAGCCAGTGGACCCTTCTCTACCTGCCCAAACATAGGCCTGTAGGTTCTCCTCTTACTACCTGTGGGTGAGCAAGGGCTAGACACCCTGGCTACACATGAGTTGACCCCTGGCATCAGGCCAAAGAACATCATGTTCAACTGTTTCTTCAAGAGGCCAGTGAACAGAGGGTTCTGCATTCCAAAGGAGTTGGTAAGAAGGCAGGGATTCAGAGACATGCTCCTCTTCAAAGAGCCCTCCACCACCCTCTCCCTTAAACTGAAATGCCCTAGAAATGGATGAGAGAGCATGAGGGCAGTAGATAAGCAGTGTCTTTTATTTTTAAGAAAATACAAAACCAGTGTTCTCTTAATTTCTAAAAAATCCAGCAATTCAGGTATCCTCCTTAAGGCTCAGTTATAAGATCCTGATCAAAGCCCCAGGCCGGGGGGGGGGGGGGGGGGGGGGTGTTCATTACAGTCACAGCAGGGGCTCAGTAAATATCCCTACAGGGCTATGAATGAGTGATGGACATCAGCCATCATAAGACTACATGCCTCATGCCTCAGCAGTGACCCACCACCCTGATCTATACCCCCACCTAAGATGGAAGCTCCTGGTTGGCGTGCCTGGGGGGCACAGTCAGTTAAGTGGCCAACTCTTGGTTTCAGCTGGGGTCGTTATCTCAGGGTCATGGGATCAAACCCTGTGTCTGGCTCCACGCTCAACTGGGAGTCTGCTTGAGTTTCTCTCTCCCTCTCCCTCTGCCCTTCCACCCTGTCCCTGTACTCTTGCTCTCTCTATTCTCTCTAAAATAAATAAATAAATAAATCTTAAAAAAAAAAAAAAAAGGAAACTTCTGGATGGAGGGTCTCAGTCACTGATCCCTCGACAACTTAGAGAGCTTAACACCAGGTCCTGTTGCAGCTTCACAAGACTTCCTGAAGCCTGATTTGCAGGGTACACTAGCCTTTGTTCCTCAAGCAAGATCTCCCTCTATCTGGAAACTTCTATCTCCTGTTTGTACCTGGATCTCAGCAACTCAGGGAGGACCTGACCACAACCATGATCCCATCCAACAATTTCAATTCTCTATATGGCACTTGGGTAACTGTATATCTGATTACTTACTACCTGTCTCTGCCCACTAAACATTTGCTCCCTGAGGGCAAGCCCTTGTCTGTCTTGTAGATGAAAGCCTGGAACCTGGCACAGTGCCTGGCATAAAAGGAATACTTGTTGAATACATTAATTCACCTGTCCACCATACACCTAGAAATAAACATCCTACAGGTACTTCTCCCCCAGGCACATACACACAGGGACACCATTCTACACAGGTTAGGGCATGCCATACACAGGTTAGGCCCCTGCTCCTAGATGCCAGAGGTGGCACTCATCAGGGCAGGGCCAGTCGGGCAGGATGGCAGAAGCTTTGTGTAGAGATAGCTCTGAAGCCAGCAACTCTTGAGCCCCCAGGACTCTCTGTCCCCAAACTCGGCCCTGGCAAAATGTTGAGACCCCAGTTCCAGGCCAAGAAAGAGAAAACTGTTTAAGGAAGCCAAAACCAAAACAAAGGTTTATGAAGAGCTACATACAGCAAGCAACACCTTTCTATCTTTTTTACCTTTTTAGTATTTGTTCAAAATAGCAAAGTTGTTGAGAGCTTCTTTCACAAAGTGCAAAAAAGTGTTTGTTTAGGCTTCTTCCATGGAAAAGTTCTTTTGTTTTTGTTTTTTAAAGACCTCAGCTTGGCTATTTAAAAAGGGTCACTGGAAGTCAGGTCAGAGGTGACCCTGAGAAAGAAAGGATCAGTGTACCAAGGAGGATCCTGGAAAGAACAGCAAAAAAATCTCTTCTGCCGGTGTAAGAACCTGTGCGCACAAACCCAGAGAATCCGACATCCCACAAGGGAGAAGGGACCTCACCTTCCTGTCCCAATACCTCCCTCACGCCACGCACTAGATCAGAGGCCCCACCCGCCTCCTTGGCGATGCCTGTTTTTTGAGGTGCAGGAAGTGGGGCACTTAACTCTCCAACACACCCCAGTGGAGGACAGTCGCGATCATAAATAACTGCTCCCATTTACAGAGTCCGGCCTCGATGCTCAGGCGGAGCATCCTCCCATTTAATTATCACCACACGACCTCACGGATACCCGTGTGCAAGTGAGAAAACGGAGGCCAAGAGAAGTCCAAGTCACCCAGTCGGTCAGGAGCGCGGCCTGGATTTAAACAAGCTACACCGCCCGTTCGATTTAAGTCTCTGGAAGGCGGGAGCCAGGTTTTGCTCGGGGGGACCCCCAGCGAAGGCCACGGCGGCGGGATGAAACTGAGCCGCTGACAGCGGACGTCCTGGCGGAGGGACAAAGCGAGGGACGGCACTGGCCTCCGAAAACGGCCAATTTGAAATGCTGCTCAGCCGGCGGGGGACATGCGGAGCGAGGGGTAACTGTGCAGAAATGCCATCTGGCGTAACCCCGGGCTGGCACGCGCTTCCTGCGCGTCCGGGTCAACGAAGGGCCTCCCGGCACAAAACAGGGTGCCAGGCCCCGAGGGGGAGGGAGATTATTATTCTTTCGGAATCTGGTGACCCAGGGGGAGGGTAAAGGGTCATCTCAGGCCCCAGGACACGGCGGGCCACTTCGCAGCACACTTGGAGGAGGTGGCCCGTCCATTTCCAGGCCGCAGGGCCAGGCGGGGTAGGGGTGGGGGGGGTCACGCCCCCGGTCTGGGGTTGGCGGGAAGGTAGGGAATCGCCAGCCACCCACCCGCTAGCCCCGCGGGCCGCCCCGCGCACTCACTCGACTGCGCCGCGTCTCCTAAGTGCTGCTCCGACCCAAGTCCCGCGGCCTCCCTAGCAGAGCCCCCCGGCCGACCCAGATCCTTGGCTCCGGGGCTCCAGGGCTCACCGCGTCCGAGGAGCAACCCGGCGGGGCACCGCGGCGAAACCTCCGATTTTCAAAACTGAACACTCGCCCAATCCCCGGCAAGCTTGTCTGGACGCTGCGAGACTCTCGGCCAACCAGGTAAGAGAGGGCGCCGGCCCGGCCACCGATTGGCTACTGGGGCTGGCAGTCGGCGGGACTAAGAGGCGGGGAGAGGAAGGGCTGAAACTTTAACGCGCTCAGCTTCCGGGACGGGCGGCTGGCGGCCGACGGAAGTCGCGCTCGGCGGGGAATGCGCGCGCAGGGCCTCTCGCACGGGAACTGCAAGCCCCAGCATGCACTGCGAGGACCAGCATGCACTGCGAGGACCCGCGGAGCCCGGGGGCGCGTATGGCCGGGCGGTCTGCGGGCCAGTCTCTGGGGCCGGACTTCAGACCCGCGCTTATCGCTGGAGCCGCAGGCTTTGCATTCTCCTCCATACTGAGCGACATCCTTCTGCCCGCTGCCATTTTTGAGAATGCAAAAGAAAGTGCTCTGTAAGTCGCGGCGGACTTTGTTTCTGCGGAGTGTCATCTCTCTGTCCGTCATCTGTCATCTCTGTCATCTCTCGGGTGCCAGCAGCCTGCGTCCCGCCTCTCCTGGCCCCCGAGTACTGCTCTGGAACAGTGTTCTCAACCCCAGGCACTTCTGCCTCACGCCCGTTGGGCAATGTATGAAGATGCTGTCTTTTCTTGCAGAAGGTGTGGTGGTGCCACCTGGCTGGCATCTGCTGGGTGGAGGCTGGCCATGCCGCTAAATACCCTGCCCTGCCTAGGACAGGGCCCCCACCAGCTCCTCACGCACACACAAATATCCGTCCGAAATGGCAACATCGCCGCCCGCCGTGGAGAAACTAGTCAGTCGCTTTACCCTGTGAGTCAGGGCTGCCATTACCTGTAAAAGAGAGTTGAATCTAGAAGAGGTATGCATACACAAATGCTCATTGCAACATGAATGGTAACAGCCAAGCGGTGGGACCAGCCTAAATGTTTATCAATCGATGGTTGGATAAAGAAAATGTGGTAAGCCAAACAGTGGGATATCCGTCCGACCTTGAAGAAGAAAAATGCTGTCATCTGCTAAGACATGGGTGAACCTTAAGGACATTATGCCAAGTGAAATGAGCCAGTCGCAGAAAGACCAACACTCAGTGATTTTGCTTATGAGACGTATCTAAAGCAGTCAAACTCTTAGACACAGAACGTGGAGGGGTGGTTGCCAGGGGCTGAGGAGAGGAGGGAAAAAGGAAATTACACTCCATATAGTTTCCGTTTTGCAAGGTGAAAAAGTTGTAGGAATCTGTTGCACTATGTGCGGCGTATAGTTCACATACTGTAATGTGCATTTAAAAATGCTTAAGATGGGGCACCTGGATGGCTCAGACGGTCAAGCATCTATCTGCCTTCGGCTCAGGTCATGATCCCGGGATCCTAGGATTGAGCCCGTGTCAGGCTCCCTGCTCGGCGGAGCCTGCTTCTCCCTCTGCCTCTAACCCTCCCCTGGTCGTTTTCTCTTTCTCTTTCTCTAATAAAATCTTTTTTAAAAAATGGTTAGGATGGGAATCTCTGGGTGGCTCAGTGGTTTGGCACCTGCCTTTGGCCCAGGGCGTGATCCTGGAGTCCCGGGATCAAGTCCCACGTCGGGCTCCCTGCGTGGAGCCTGCTTCTCCCCCTGCCTGTGTCTCTGCCTCTCTCTGTGTGTCTTTCATGAATAAATAAATAAAATCTTTTTAAAAAAATGGTTAGGATGATAAATTTTATATTTTGGCCAAGACTGAAAGAAAAGTTAAACTAGATCTTCCTTCCACTTCCTATGTTTCTGTAGCACTGCTTTCCTCTGACCCTCCTCCTACCCAGTCTAGTTTCACTGCCTTCTTTCACGGGGGAATGACAACCACCCTCAACCCCCAATGCTTTGTTGGCCCCCAAGTGTCTCTTACTTGGCCTCCCTTCAGAGATGTTCCTCACTGCCCCAGTTTCAACACCCCTCCACCCCCCCACCCCCAGTCACATTAAAGCAAACTGAGAGGCAGGAATGTGGAAGTGTGTGAACAGAGAAGACTTATTTTACTCCACCTAACCCTAGAGGCCTGTATCTCTCCTGGAACACTGCCCTACGGAGTTAAACATTGGGAGGAACAGCTACCGAATCTCACCTCCAAGCTACCATTTCCTGAATGCCGCATTTGTTCTGGGCACTTTTCCAAAAAGAGGATAAGTAACCTGTCGAGATACCGTAGCTAAAGAACCAGAACCAAACCTCGCATCTCTTGCCTCCACTTTAGAAAGAATTATTTAAGGGCAGATGTGAGAAAAGTGATTTATTTAAATGCCTTCAAATCACATAAAGACTACCCTGCCAACAATGAATTAGACTTACTCTTGAGTTTTACCTGAATTATCAGCCCATATCTACAATGCACGGCCAAAAATAACTTCCAGAGGGCTCCTGGCTGGTTCAGTCAACAGAACATGCAAGTCTTGATGTGGGGATCCTGAGTTTGAACCCCACATTAGATGTAGTAGAGATTACTTAAAATTTTTTAAAGAAAGATTTTTATCTATTTATTCACGAGAGACAGAGAGAGACAGAGACACAGGCAGAGGGAGAAGCAGGCTCCATGCCGGGAGCCCAACGTGGGACTGGATCCCGGGTTCCCAGGACCATGCTCTGGGCTGAAGGCAGCACTAAACCACTGACCCACCTGGGCTGCCCTTAAATAAATAGACTTTTAAAAATTCCCCTACAAAATCAGCTGCTTCTCTTAATTCAATATAATAACTTTTTGTGTGGCCGCAAAAAGTGTTCCAGACACTGTGCTGAGGACACAGCAATGAGCCTAGGCAGATGTGACCCTGCTCTCACTAAGTCTACAGCATGGTGGACTATATTTATATCGTTAAAATGTTCGGGCATTAGAGTTGGATTTCTGACAGTGAAATAAAGTAGAAGTCACAGGTGGAGATTAGCATGAAGAAACCTGTGATGGAATGTTCTGGAAAGCAATGAGGAAGCCTCCTCTCAGATGAGTGCTGCAGCCCCCGCCCCCCACAACTGCAAGATCCTTTGGAGACAAAGGCAGTGCCTAAAATGTGGATTCCCTATGAGATTAGGAAACTCTTAATATCTGCCCCACAGAGGAAACCAGTAGTTCCAGGTCTCTAGAGCAAAAATGGGAAGTCCAGAGTTCTACAACAATACTCTTCAAATAGTTTTGTTCTAGCATCCACTAAGACAATTTTAAAACCTACACACACATTTTTAAAATTGACCTTCAAATTATTTTCCTCATTTAAATGGTTGTAAAAGATGTAATTTCCTAAAACTCCTGGATCGCTCTTTCAAATGTATCTAATGACATCAAAATGCCATAGCAATTTAAAATCCACCATGATCCATTTTAATGTGTATCTTTTTTTTGTACTGAAGGACAATTGAGAAATAAAAATTATATATATTTCAGGTGTACATGACATTTGATATTTACACACTGAGATAATCACAACCAAATTAACATATGCCACGCCTCAGTTACTTTTTCTTTTGTTATTTATTTTTCTTCTTTCTTTTTTTAAAGTGATAAAGATACTTAAATCTACCCTCTTAGCAAATTTCAAGTACATGATACAGTATCGCTATCTATATTCCTATAACTATACATTAGATCTCTAGTACTTAACCATCTTGCATAACTGAAATTTTGTTGCACAACTCCTCACCCTTTCTTCTTCCACAGCCCCTAGAAACCACCATTCTACTCTCTACTTCTATGTGTTGGCCTATTTTAGATTCTATATATAGGTAGATCATGCAGAATTTGTCCTTCTGTGTCTTATTTCATTTAGTGTAATGTCCTCCGGGTTCATTCAAGTAGTTAGAAATGCCTAAATTTCCTTCCTTTTTTATTTTTTAAATATTTTTATATTTTAATTTATTTATGAACTTACTTATTCATGAGAGAGACACAGAGAGGGGCAGAGACATAGGCAGAGGAACAGGCAGGCTCAGTCCCAGCACCCCAGGATCATGACCTGAACCAAAGGCAGACACTCCACCACTGAGCCACCCAGGCGTCCCCATTATTGCCATTTTAAAAGAACAAACTATGCATAAATTAGTGCAAGAATTTGACATTTTTTAAGAAAAAGCAGCCTGTTTTGGTAGCAGTATAGCCCTGTGATCCTAATTTAAAACATATAATTAAATACCTTAGATTCATATTTTTAAGCTGGAATCCCACTAAATCTATATACCAGAATTGGATTATTTAAGAGAACTTAAGATTCACCATCAACCAAGATGGCCTTAAACATTCCCCTTCAGCTTGATTAAACTTTAGGCTGCTTTTTTTTTTTAAATTTTTATTTATTTATGATAGTCACACGGGGGGGGGGGCAGAGACATAGGCAGAGGGAGAAGCAGGCTCCATGCACCGGGAGCCCGACGTGGGATTCGATCCCGGGTCTCCAGGATCGCGCCCTGGGCCAAAGGCAGGCGCTAAACCGCTGCGCCACCCAGGGATCCCTTTAGGCTGCTTCTTGACTGTAGATCCTGCTCTCTCCTTCCTTAGAACAGTTTCTTTAGAAAACTTGGAATGGTAAATTCTTTTTCTGCCCCTTTGGAATATATGTAAATCTCTTTAAAAAGCGTCTTGCCAGTTTTACAACCTAGGAATGTCTTCCTCAAGGATTTAGGAACCATCCCTTCAAAATATAACAGACCGAGTCATCCAGGCACCCCATGACCTCATGCATTCCCAACCCATCAGCAAGACTTTCTCTGTAATAAGTTGGAAGCTCAATGTCATTAGGCCGTGATTCATTCATCTCCCATACTGATTCCATGAGTAGGATAACCTTAGGATTACATGTGGCTTCTATTGTGCTTCAGAGAAAGATTACATACGATTACATCCAGGCGAATTCTGGCTGTGCAAGACAGTGGTTCCTCATTACTAAACCCTCACTGAAAGAGCATCTGGTTATTTCACTCTGTGCCTTGCTTATCGGAGAGGCTGACAGATAGCATAACAGGATTTTAGTCTGGTG